AGGCATAACAGTATGTTACTAAAGTAGATTTATTATACTGAGCTCATAAAAGATAGCTTTCAGGCATAACAATAATTCATATATAAATATTATACTAACTAATATTTTGGTCTGTTTTGTCTGAATTGAAAAATATCAAAAGATGATTTTCAAGACAAAGGCCTATTTTTTTGATTTTTTGAATTTATACAATCACAGAAACTTAAAGCAACTTGAAGTTTTTTTGATATAAACTGTTACCAATGAAGTCTTTAAATATGCGAGGAATGAGATGATTTGGAGATTATTTTGCAGTGAATATTGATGTTATTTCAAAGTTATGAACGGCTTTTGCGGTGATTTTTTGTTAGTGAAACGTTGCGTTCTTTAAAGTGTATAAATAAGATACCCGGGTAATTGATTTGCATCAACCAATCAGGCGAATGTCCTTATATGAGATGTAGCGTCATGTGCCAATCATATTTGTGAACCACATTTTTTGATATTGCAGATTTCTCAATAAACGCGTTAAAAAAAAGATATAAGAACCTCCTTTTTTTTAATCTTTATTTCGCTTTATTTTTTTTATTTGCTTTTTTTTTGTTATTTCATTTTATTTTCTTTGCCTTTTTAGAGACACCCTTCTCGCCTCCCCCGACATTTTTGGATTTTGTAGAATTTACATTATTATTAGTTCCGACCAACTTTCCAGTTTTTAACCATGTCTCGTAAGCTTGATATCTACTCTTTGCCGCGCTATAATTTGCATGATCTGACCCTACAGCTTGTAATATAGCATATTTCTTTGGTATATCTAAACATTCTTCATATACTTTTTCATCTGGCACTCGTATATCCGTTATCGGATTTGGTAAATTAGCACGTCGCATGTAAGTGTTGTAACAGGGATAATCGGAATGACTGGTTAACGCAGGATCGTTGTTACCAGTTGGTGTTGGTGTTAGAACTAAATTTTTGTTTTGGTGTATGTATCTGAAACAATAATATGAATTAATATAGTGAATTTATATAAAAATTTTTAAAATTGCAAAAAGATAAAAATCTATAAGTATTATGTAAGTGAAGGCATATATTTAGGGAAGTTTTTCATAGAACGTGCATTTAGGGGGTCTCACTACATAATTCCTTAAAACTCAATAAATTATAAGGGTATTCTTGCAGTATAAGTGGTTCCTCTAATGTATTATTAATCAATTGGTTATAAAGTAGGGTCACCTATACTGCGAGAGATCATTACGTTTTTTGCGGGCCAATTTAGTTTTGGATTTTAGTAAATGAAAAATTTAGGTTTATCAGTTCGAAAATTGCTAAACACCTAGGTTATTACTGTAATGCTAATAATACCAAATTATCGATCAATTTTTATTAGTTTTTAGAGTTTTATAAAAACAGCTATAAAGACGTTTAACAACTTGTTTAGTCATCAGACAGGATTGTTACCAAATTTAACGCAAAGTAAATTTAATGTTTTTAAAATTCTGTTAAATGTTTATTATTCGTTTTAAAAATAAAAAAAAATAAAAGGATTTTATTTTTTATCGCCATAGCGATGTATC